TGCTAATAGTGTCTCGTCATTTGGAATGAACCCCTTCTCTGTTCGATGGACATAACTCACTCACAAACTCTCTAGATTTTTTGCAAGCCTATTCCTTTTTTTCTTAGTAAAATCATCAGCTATTGAATGCTACAAATATTTCAAAGAAGGCTTCACTTTGAATCCTATTTTCTTGCTAATAGTGTCTCGTCATTTGGAATGAACCCCTTCTCTGTTTGGTGGACATAACTCACTCACAAACTCTCTAGATTTTTTGCAAGCCTATGCCTTTTTTTCTTAGAAAAATCATCAGCCATTAAATGTTACAAACATTTCAAAAAAGGTTTCACTTTGAAACATATTTTCTTGCTAATAGTGCTTCATCATCTAGAATGAACCCCTTCTCTGTTTGGTGGATATAACTCACTCACAAACTCTCTAGATTTTTGCAAGCCTATGCCTTTTTTTTTGGTAAAATCATCAGCCATTAAATGGTACAAACATTTCAAAGAAGGTATCACTTTGAATCGTTCTTTCCTGTTAATAGTGTCTCGTCATCTGGAATCAACCCCTTCACTGTTTGGTGGACATAACCCACTCACAAACTCTCTAGATTCTTTGCAAGCCTATGGCTTTTTTTTCAGTAAAATTTTCAACTATTGAGTGTTACAAACATTTCAAAAAAGGCTTCACTTTGAATCATATTTTCTTGCTTATAGTGCTTCGTCATCTGGAATCAACCCCTTCACTGTTTGGTGGACATAACCCACTCACAAACTCTCTAGATTCTTTGCAAGCCTATGGCTTTTTTTTCAGTAAAATTTTCAACTATTGAGTGTTACAAACATTTCAAAAAAGGCTTCACTTTGAATCCTATTTTCTTGCTAATGGTGTCTCGTCATCTGGAATCAACCCCTTCACTGTTTGGTGGACATAACCCACTCACAAACTCTCTAGATTCTTTGCAAGCCTATGGCTTTTTTTTCAGTAAAATTTTCAACTATTGAGTGTTACAAACATTTCAAAAAAGGCTTCACTTTGAATCATATTTTCTTGCTAATAGTGTGTCGTCATCTGGAATGAGCCCCTTCTCTGTTTGGTGAACATAACTCACTCACAAACTCTCTAGATTTTTGCAAGCCTATGCCTTTTTTTCTTAGTAAAATCATCAGCCATTAAATGGTACAAACATTTCAAAGAAGGTATCACTTTGAATCGTTCTTTCCTGTTAATAGTGTCTCGTCATCTGGAATCAACCCCTTCACTGTTTGGTGGACATAACCCACTCACAAACTCTCTAGACTCTTTGCAAGCCTATGGCTTTTTTTTCAGTAAAATCTTCAACTATTGTGTGTTACAAACATTTCAAAAAAGGCTTCACTTTGAATCATTCTTTCTTGCTAATAGTGTCTCGTCATCTGGAATGAACCCTTTCTCTGTTTGGTGGACATAACTCACTCACAAACTGTCTAGATTCTTTGCAAGCCTTTGCCTTTTTTTCTTAGTAAAATCATCAGCCATTAAATGGTACAAACATTTCAAAAAAGGTATCACTTTGAATCGTTCTTTCCTGTTAATAGTGTCTCGTCATCTGGAATCAACCCCTTCACTGTTTGGTGGACATAACCCACTCACAAACTCTCTAGACTCTTTGCAAGCCTATGGCTTTTTTTTCAGTAAAATCTTCAACTATTGAGTGTTACAAACATTTCAAAAAAGGCTTCACTTTGAATCATATTTTCTTGCTAATAGTGTCTCGTCATCTGGAATGAACCCCTTCACTGTTTGGTGGACATATCCCACTCACAAACTCTCTAGATTCTTTGCAAGCCTATGGCTTTTTTTTCAGTAAAATTTTCAACTATTGAGTGTTACAAACATTTCAAAAAAGGCTTCACTTTGAATCATATTTTCTTGCTAATAGTGTCTCGTCATCTGGAATGAACCCCTACTCTGTTTGGTGGACATAACTCACTCACAAACTTTCTAGAATTTTTGCAAGCCTATGCCTTTTTTTTAGTAAAATTATCACCTAATAAATGTTACAAACATTTCAAAAAAGGCTTCACTTTGAATCATTTTTTCTTGCTATTAGTGTCTCGTCATCTGGAATGAACCCCTTCTCTGTTTGGTGGACATAACTCACTCACAAACTCTCTAAATTTTTTGCAAGCCTATGCCTTTTTTTCTTAGTAAAATCATCAGCCATTAAATGGTACAAACATTTCAAAAAAGGTATCACTTTGAATCGTTCTTTCCTGTTAATAGTGTCTCGTCATCTGGAATGAACCCCTTCACTGTTTGGTGGACATATCCCACTCACAAACTCTCTAGATTCTTTGCAAGCCTATGGCTTTTTTTCAGTAAAATTTTCAACTATTGAGTGTTACAAACATTTCAAAAAAGGTTTCACTTTGAATCATATTTTCTTGCTAATAGTGTGTCGTCATCTGGAATGAACCCCTTTCTCTGTTTGGTGGACATAACTCACTCACAAACTCTCTAGACTCTTTGCAAGCCTATGGCTTTTTTTTCAGTAAAATCTTCAACTATTGAGTGTTACAAACATTTCAAAAAAGGCTTCACTTTGAATCATTCTTTCTTGCTAATAGTGTCTCGTCATCTGGAATGAACCCTTTCTCTGTTTGGTGGACATAACTCACTCACAAACTGTCTAGATTCTTTGCAAGCCTTTGTCTTTTTTTCTTAGTAAAATCATCAGCCATTAAATGGTACAAACATTTCAAAAAAGGTATCACTTTGAATCGTTCTTTCCTGTTAATAGTGTCTCGTCATCTGGAATCAACCCCTTCACTGTTTGGTGGACATAACCCACTCACAAACTCTCTAGACTCTTTGCAAGCCTATGGCTTTTTTTTCAGTAAAATCTTCAACTATTGAGTGTTACAAACATTTCAAAAAAGGCTTCACTTTGAATCATATTTTCTTGCTAATAGTGTCTCGTCATCTGGAATGAACCCCTTCACTGTTTGGTGGACATATCCCACTCAGAAACTCTCTAGATTCTTTGCAAGCCTATGGCTTTTTTTTCAGTAAAATTTTCAACTATTGAGTGTTACAAACATTTCAAAAAAGGCTTCACTTTGAATCATATTTTCTTGCTAATAGTGTCTCGTCATCTGGAATGAACCCCTACTCTGTTTGGTGGACATAACTCACTCACAAACTTTCTAGAATTTTTGCAAGCCTATGCCTTTTTTTTAGTAAAATTATCACCTAATAAATGTTACAAACATTTCAAAAAAGGCTTCACTTTGAATCATTTTTTCTTGCTATTAGTGTCTCGTCATCTGGAATGAACCCCTTCTCTGTTTGGTGGACATAACTCACTCACAAACTCTCTAAATTTTTTGCAAGCCTATGCCTTTTTTTCTTAGTAAAATCATCAGCCATTAAATGGTACAAACATTTCAAAAAAGGTATCACTTTGAATCGTTCTTTCCTGTTAATAGTGTCTCGTCATCTGGAATGAACCCCTTCACTGTTTGGTGGACATATCCCACTCACAAACTCTCTAGATTCTTTGCAAGCCTATGGCTTTTTTTCAGTAAAATTTTCAACTATTGAGTGTTACAAACATTTCAAAAAAGGTTTCACTTTGAATCATATTTTCTTGCTAATAGTGTGTCGTCATCTGGAATGAACCCCTTTCTCTGTTTGGTGGACATAACTCACTCACAAACTCTCTAGACTCTTTGCAAGCCTATGGCTTTTTTTTCAGTAAAATCTTCAACTATTGAGTGTTACAAACATTTCAAAAAAGGCTTCACTTTGAATCATATTTTCTTGCTAATAGTGTCTCGTCATCTGGAATGAACCCCTTCTCTGTTTGGTGGACATAACTCACTCACAAACTCTCTAGATTTTGCAAGCCTATGCCTTTTTTTCTTAGTAAAATTATCAGCTATTGAATGTTACAAACATTTCAAAAAAGGCTTCACTTTGAATCATATTTTCTTGCTAATAGTCTCCCGTCATCTGGAATGAGCCTCTTCTTTGTTTGGTGGACACAAATCACCTAGAAACTCTCTAGATTTGGCATACCCAAGCCTGTTTTTCTTAGTAAAATCATCAGCTATTAAATGTTACAATCATTTCAAAAAAGGCTTCACTTTTAATATTTTCTTCTTGCTGATAGTGTCTTGTCACTCGGAATGAACCTCTTCTTGATTTGGTAGACACAAATCACCTAGAAACTCTGTAGATTTTCGCATGCCCAAGCCTTTTTTTCTTAGTCAAATCATCAGCTATTGAATGTTACAAACATTTCAAAAAAGGCTTCACTTTGAATCAATATCATTATTATAAATTATTTTTTCAGTTTCAATGTTTTAGTAACCATTATAAAAAAGGGCTGAAATGAATTATATCTTTAACCGAAATTTTCAGGATTTTGGAATTTTCAATTTTTTTTTCTTGTGAACGCCTAATCTCGATAAGCCACATCTTGATATTCAAAAAACAGCGATAAGGTTAGATCAATGATTTTTTTCTTAGTTAAAGTCATTTCAAATATGAAATTCTTTTGCAAGAGGAGCAGTCCCTCTTGCTTCCTTCCTAAGGTATTGCAAATTATTGAAACGAAAGGCGAAAAGCATGAATATATTCTTATTCATTTTCAGTATAGATATTAAAAGAATACATAGACTTCCACGCGATTTGTTTGTAAAGCTCTTATAAAGCTTCGTAAACTTTTGAAAATTATGGGTTTTTAGCTAGCGGAATTTCATTGCCGCAGCATATAGCATCCGTAATTTCCAAGATTTTAATTTTTGTACACTTTAACTCAGGATCGGACTAACCCCACCTCAACTCTTGATTCTGCTAGCCCCGGGAGTTTCCTTGATGCACTTAGAAAAAAGGGGCTTTGTGGCCAAAGCATTTATCAACCTTTTTGGTAAATCTGCCCTGTCGTATCGCCTGATTCTGTTTTTAGGCATCACCTCATTTGTTGGCATGAAAATCTTATTTTTATTCTTAAAATTTCGACAATCATTTTCGATCTTGAAAGTTATTTTTCTTCTTTATTATTATCATCTAAGTGTTTATACAAACTTGTATATAATTGCTGAAAATAACATATGAAATGAAATATCAAATAAAATGCAACAGCTACAAGGAAAACGAATTTGGCGGGAGATCCGAAAAGGTTTTGGCGGCAATACTGGTTCCGCGGGGAGGCCTTTGTTTAGATATGGCGGGAATTGAGATTGTATTTGGCGGGAGATTCGAAATAATTTTGGCGGGAGATTTGAAAAGGTTTTGGCGGCAGTGTTTGTTGCGCAGGAGACCTTTGTTTAGATTTGGCGGGAACCAAGTTCAAATTTGCATATGCTTATAAATGTCTCGTTTTTGGCTATTCAATTAGTTGGCACAAAGGTGCTGAAGGTGAGATGTTGCTCCAGAACACTCACGTCTTCATGGTTTTGGCCTACATCTGAATGTAAAACCTAGGTAAGGCCTTTTCGTCCAAGTACTTTCGTCTCAAATTCTTCGTCGTTCATTTCCTCCTCATCCATGTTTTCTTCTGTATTTAATTTTATCGACAAAAAGCATAAGTTTTCTCATTTGTATTTCAGTTATTGAGTCAACACCATTCGTGAATTGAGAACAGTCCACGGTAAAAACATGTTCTTTCCATTCAAACCTAGTAGTTGTTCATTGCATTCTTCTAAGTGGTAATTTGAAATTTAATGAATTCTAGCTAAGTGAAAAGTGACATATGGCTAATATATTTGCCTATTCGGGTTTTTCGTTTCTGCTAGTTGTTTTACAAACATGTTTCGTAGGCCAACCATTTATCGAAAGAACTTCATTTTAAGTAAATAGATAATGAAATTTTCAATGTATCATTAATTAAAATGCTTTTTGCCTCATTTTAAGGGTAATGGAGTGATCACAGAAAGTCGACAACTGATTAAGTTAAAGAAAACTCTTCCCAAACACCGTAAAGCATTGGCGCTGAAAGGCAAGACAGGTAAACTTGTTTGTTTGTTTCTCCTCTAAAAGAAAGCAACTGCTAACTAGAGTGTTTTAATTGTCTTTGGAAGGAAATAACTTTTTTTATGTGGAGTTTTCCAATTTTCCGTGGAAATAAACGCTTTCTTTCTTCAAATTAACCTTTCAGCCATTTGCTTCCAGTAGTTTGTGCTTACAGGCAATTTGACAATCAATTCAACTGGCAATTTTCAATGTAAAAATCTTTTACGTTCAGGGGGACTGATGTTTGGCAGAAAATCCGGTTTCTTCTTAATTGTTGGTTCAAATTCATGAAGATTTATCTTCAAAATATCAGTCCCAAATTTGTCAATGAAGCATGCTTTTTACTGCTTGCTTTTATTAAAGCTAAAAAAGCAAGTTACCGTTATTATAACAATACTATACTTGGCATTCCCTGCATCTTCGAAATATTACCAATTTTATATTTACTACCAATTCACTTCTAACTTCATACAAACTGTTCATTGACAATTATTTTTGCAAAGATGAATGTGGTTTGAGAAATTTGATTACCCTCCAGTAGACCCTGGTTCGAAGTTTTGAATAGACTTGTCTCATTAATTTGATCTTTGAATACAACTTTCAATTCCATTTGCTTCAATTATGCTCAGTTCAATTTAAAAATCATCTGACAATCTCCAGGCTTGTAGTCTTCTCTTATTAAGGTTTTAACTTTACACCAGTAAATTAATTATTTAACATTTTGCCAGGTCTTTCATGGTGCCTCTCATTGTTGCAGATCAAAGAGAAGCTCAATTAAAGTTTTTTGGTATGTTTGTTATTTAGTATCATTATTTGCTTTTTGAATCAGAAGTAAATTGTATATTTGGAAATTTTTGTGTTCATGTTTTTTCCAATTTTAAATTTGTTGAGTTTGCATCCAGCCAGCTATAATTTTCCTGAGATGTTGTTTTCATTCTTATCCATTATGTAATTGTTTAGTTTGTTAATAAAAATAATTCCATTAACAAGTTTTGAATTCAACACATTGAGATATATTGATAAATCTTTATTTTAATCATATCTTTATTTTATATGTTACACTCCAATTATTGCTCCTAGTCATGTATATGATGAGAAGCAGGCATGTTTGTTCAAGATATAGATATTAGAAAAACAAGCTAAGATATTATAAGGTCTTACAAGAATACATGTTGCAAATAACCTTTCTTGTTTTGCATTATTTTGAAGCCATTTTGTCAGCCCCAAATCTCTTTATGTGTGATATCTTTATAGCAAATATTTGAACAATCTGATTTCATTTTTTTATTTGATAGACAACATAATGATGGCCTGGAATTGCAAGGGCAAGACTTCTGCAAGGTTTGTAAGACTCTTTCTAGTCTACCATCTGAACAAAGAAATTCTAAATTTTTGCTTCAAGCTTTTTAATATATCTCCAGTTTAGATAATCATTCTTGAATTGAGTAACTCCCCAACAAGGCCAGAATTTGATGTTAATTTTGAAAGGTTGTTAATCAGCATTAATTAAAAGAATGTTTATTGTTAAAATTTAGCAACAACTATTTTACCTGATGCTTGCGTACAATGGAAAGTGTGCATTTTTTTCCTGATTAATGCAGATTTTTGTGATTGGAAAAAATTTTGTTTCATTGCTTGAGATTTTAGATAACTTTGTTCCATTTCTTTTTTGCTTTAAGATGACCATGTAAAATGTGGTGAATTTCTACAAGCTAGAGGTCAGCTAGGTTTGTAAAAATTTCTTCTTTTATGTCTATCATTCATACTAATTATTCATTTATTTTCAATTTCAAGCACTCATTTCTGTGTCATTTCTTAATTGTTACAATTATCATTTTTTCTAAGTTACAAACTCCACTAGGCTTTCATGATTTAAAAGTAAATTGGATATCTGGCAAAACTTTGAATGAGATATCTACAAATAAATTCATAATGTTATGTTTTTTAGATTAGTTTTAAAGTTTGTTGTTAATCAAGCTATTAAATTTGTATTATTTTGTGATTTATTCAATAATATTACTGATCTGAATCTTAAATTGGAAAATTTGTATCAAGTAAAATTGATGATTACATTAGAAGAAAATATTTTTTTATCATTATTTATATTCTACTAGATAAATTTATATAAGGTTGCTAAACTAATGATCTTATAGTTTTTTGTGTGTATTCATCATGATTATATGTTTTTATACTTGTACATAAATGATTATTTTTTGTTGATGGTTCTACATTTTCTCACTAAGGTAAAATGCTGGTTGTTTGAAAAACAATTATCTGTTGTTTGAGAAGTACACCTGCAAAGCATTCAAAGGTAGAATTGTCCATTTTATCTTTTAGAATTTTTATTTATTGAAAACATTTACTAACCAAAATCAAACATTATTTATCTTATTCAAATATTGAAACTGTGACAAAAATTTACAACTACTGTTAATAATTTATAACTGATCATGAATGATAATTCTTCTAAATGGAATGTGTTGTCCACATAGTCAAAAACTTTTTCATCAAGTACAAATAATTATATTAGATTTGTGCATTTCCCACTGTTATAAAGTCTCGCCTATATTTTTGCCTATTTTTATTTATGATACTATTATGACATTATTCATGAATAAGAAGCAGCATAAGATGATTCTAGTACCATTGAACAAGCTTTGATTTTAAGCTTTACCATTCTCAGTCCTAAAGTAAATGAATTTTATTCTATGATAACTGATTGATAAACTGTATGAGAATTTATTTAATGAAACTGAAATGTCTTTATGCAAATAAGCTAAGTAGCTGGAAGGTGCAAATGAGCCCTAATTTTTCCTATTTCTTTGTGATGCTTCAATGCCATTCTAGGTATGTTATTTTGCCATTCTTGTTTATGGTTGTTCATGTTTTTACAGAGTAAAATGCTGGTTATCCAGACACAATTAGCACTGGTTGTGAAGTACACCTGGAAAGAATACTAAGGTAGACATGTTTATTTTATCTTTTAGGATATTTATTTATTTATTATATCTGTTGACCAACATCCCAAAGTTCTTATTTAATTTAAAGAATAAAACTGGGACAAAATATTTCAGCCACACTATGAACTATTTAGTGACTAGTTCATAATGCAAAAGTTAATTGTTTTGTATGGAATTCGTTCTCAACATACACTAAGACTTCTTGCATTGGGTACTTTGGCACAAGGATTTTTATTGAAATGGTAGAAAATATGGTTTTCTATTCTACTGGTTTGAATCCTGAAGTGATAATTGATTTATGCATTAGAAAATAATTGAATGGCTGATTACAATAGTGGAATTATCCCTCATACATTTAACAGTTTATTGGCTTTTCTTTGTCCTTGAAATTTGCCCTGATTTTCTTTTTCCTTCGCTTTGCTTCTATGTTATTCTAGATTAGGTTTTCTTTTCTTTTTGTTGATTGTTGTTCACTTTTTTACAGGTTAGAATGCCAGACATCCATAAACAATTACCTGCTGCTTGTGACTTCAAAAGATTCTAAGGTAGACATGTTCATTTTATCTTTTGGTTATATGTTGATTGATCATATTTACTTACCAACATCCAATAATTCTTATCTTATTCACAAATTGAAATTGAAAAAAAATCTACAAATTTATTATCAAAATATTTCAGCCACACCTTGAAATATTTTTTAACTGATATGTTAAGAAATATAATAGACATATTTATATTTCGGCATAAAACATTGCAATCAGCTTTAATCCAAAGCTCTAAGTTGCTTCTCTAAGTTTTGCACTAAATGTGATCTTCATGCTACAGATGTTCTCTATTTGTAAAGACAATACATTTTCTTTTCTTGACTCTTGTCTTCTCCTGTCTTTAATTCTTGTTGATAGTTCTGCATTTTGTCACCAGGGGAAAATGATGGTTATCTGAAAACAATTGTCAGATGTTTGCAAAGTACACCTGCAAAGCATGCAAAGGTACATATATTTCTTTCATTTCTTAGACTCTTTTTTATTGATCATATTTACCAATCAGCATTTGATAATTATTAATTTATTCTAAAAATTAAATTGCGGCAAAGACCACCAATTTATCATCAAGATATTTCAGCCACACTAAGAAGTATTTAGCAACTCATTGATGTTGCGAAAGATGATAATTTTTTATGGAATTGATACAAGAAGACATTTTGCATTTGGAACTTTGGCACAAGAGTTTTTAGCACATCCTAAAGGAGAAGATTTTTATAAACTGATGGACCATGTTTCAATTTGAAGATAGCTTTTCTATTGTAGCTCAACCAACATGTTAAACTAAAATACACTTACGTTCAGAAAGTATTAGGAAACCTTTGATTAAAGAATTATGTTGTTGTGTTTGATTCGGTTTTGCATTGGAAATTTGTTCAGATATGAGCAGTCTTTTTTTGAATAATCCAGGCCTATATTTCCCCAAAATGTAGCTAAAAGTTGGAAAGAACTTCTATTATAATAACAATGAAAACGTAAGATTCTAACGATTTTCCTGTATATAAAAGTGAAATGTGCAAAACGAGTTGTCTGGCCTAATAACAGCAAACTCACATGACCTAGGCAATTTTTTAGGAATGCAAAAAACAAACAAAATTTTTTAGATGTAAATTTGCATAACAAAGAAATTTATAAAGAAGAGTGATAAAAAACATTGAAATTTTATCAAATGATTAAATTTACTCAGCAACTTTTCAAACTGCTCAATACTATTAGAGAAGCCACTGTACTTGCCAGCCACAATTAATTTTTGCTTCGTGGGAGCTTCTTTATATGGAGCTGGAAAATTTGAATTTTTTTAATTTTTCCAATTGTTTTTGCTATTATTCCAAAATTTAGCTTCATTTTTAACTTCAATATAATTTTTGGCAACGACTCAAATCTATTATTTCACATTTATCTCAGAAAAGTCTTTTCATTTCTCAGCGTCGTAGACTTATTTGGTCTGGCAACCCTTGAAAATAATTTCTAACTGTTTTCGTCCGGAAAGTTTTTACGCACAGCCAAAGTTGCATTTTTCAGCAGCCTGCAATTGATTTCCTTTGTTTATGCAGAAAACATTTTGTAAGCGCTTCCCGTAACTTAGCTCTTAATTTTTAAAAACTCCCATGTTATGTTTTGAGGCCTAAAGACTTCTTACAGTTGATATTTTTCGAATTTTTAATCTGCCGTAATCGACATATCATTAAAATATCTGCCGTACTTGACAAAAGATTCTTTAAAAGTTTTTCAAAACTTTGTGCAAAAAATATTTCTGAGTTTTCAAAGGTGTTCCAATACTTTTTGAACCTAAGTGTATCTTGAATCAGATGACCTAGAATTGTGGAATTACCACTTTTGCAATTGATTGTTGATTTCTTCCCAAGTTTTTCTAGATGTCTTATTGTCTTTTTAGATTATCTTATCCTTTCCTTTTTTCGATTGTTGCTAATTATTGACTTTTTTTCAAGGTAGAACGCTGATGGGTATCCACAAACAAATGCCTGCTGTTTGTGAATATAACCTGCAAAAGATTCAAAGGTGCAGATATTTCTTTTATTATTTGTGATATACACTCCCCTCTCAAATGTATTTGAACGAAAACCATTGATGTGTCAGTACCAGTTCAAATAAATTGAAACATAGCCAGAAAAAGTGTACTAATTATTATATAGGATGACAGAAGGAGACACTTCAGAATTTTTGCCATTCACAAAAAAGCATGAATTGCACAAATTCGAATTTCAAGTCAACCATTTATCTTATTAAAACTTAGCTTTCAAAATTCGTGGGGATTCCAAAAAAAATGAACCACACAAAGTAAGCAAGGATATAATCAACGCAGAATTTCAAATAACTTGCTAGGAATATTTGTCCAGAAATACGAATTTTCTCAATATTTGTTTTTGTCCTCGGAGGAACCGGATTCTTTGAATTTTATTATATAAAAACCAAACATTTTCACTAACATTTAGGTCTTGACTTTGAGAAGATCCCGAACGACTCAATCCAATTATTTCACAGTTCTCTCAAAAAAGTCCTTACGTTTTTTAGCGTCGTAAACTAACTTTGTTTGCCAACCTTTGAAACATTTTTAACTGTTTTTGTCTGGAAAACTTTTTTCACACCGCAAAAGTTGCATTTTTTGAGCAGCCTAAAAAATATATTGAATCTTTAGTTGTGTGACATGGAGAATTGTTTTTTTGAAAAGTAAAAGGCTGATCTGATGCTATATTTTTATGAAATATACCCGACTTAATTTTTTCACGAGTATTTTTGACAAGAAACTTCAAACCAACATGTTATTTTAGGATAGTAGGTAGCACTGGCCATAATTCTCAAAAAGGTTTTATCGACAAAAATTTGCTGAACCTTTTTTTTCAATTTTACCACCTTTTTTCACTAATTTACCTCTATGGGAAATAGAATTTATGGAGGCCAATTGCAACTTCTAAAATGGCAATTTCCAAAAATGACAATTTCTTGAAATCAATGATCTTTCTGAAATAAGAATTTTTTGTACATACCTCCTTCTTCACTGTTTCTAGGGTTTGAACCATTGAACAAAGAAATATTTTTGTCTCCTTTTTGAAATAATTTTGTTTATTTTGATAAATAGTTAATTTTTGCGTTTATTTCCTGCCAAATTATATTTTTCCACTTAAATACCATTCGAATACATTTGGAAGGGGAGTGTATATATATTTATTCTTTAACCATGCTTTAAATAGATCTACCATATGATATAAAAGATGAATAACACCAATCATCACAAATGAAATAAATAAAACTGCAGAAGGATTTTAAACATTATGCTGTCTAGGCTGAGAATGTCCTTATCCAAGAAACTAAAACACAAAAAGTCAAATCCACTTCTAAAATGTTCTTTTTTGAGCGTTATTATTCACATATTTTTTCTATCCAAATTGAGACGAGAAGCAACATTTTAAGATAAGATGACAATAGAAAATTATTATCTGCACTGATTACATGCACTGAATCTAAACACCAAATCATCTGTATGAATTATGCGAAAGTGTTCAAACAATCTTCTTCCTTTATCAAGTTGTTATATGCAAAATCCTCTTTGCCAATGTTTCTTTATTTTATAATATTCCAAAATTTTGTTCAACTTTCACCAACAAGACAAATCAGAAAACTTTTTAACATTGAAATACTATAACGTTTTTCAAAATCGGAGTTCAAGTCTCTATGCTAAAGGATTGAAGTCCTACATTTGACGATTGAAACTTGCGTCTGTTTTTAGAATCTTACAATTACAAAAGGCTTTCGCAAAGCAATTTTACTTCAGAAAGTCAAAATGACTTCACAATTTTACAATATTACCAAAATTTTATAATGAAACTTTAAAAAGTCAAATTGAAGTATGTCTAGATTCCCTCAAATTTTTACGAATAAAATTATTTCCATTTATCCAATCCAATATTTTTTTCTCAGGGCTATAGCTAATTTAATCTGCGAATATTTTCACCTTGAAAGTTACTTTTGAGCTATCAAATTCATCCAATTGTTGGTTACTGATAGCGTGCAATTTCTCTTCTCGATTGCTGAATTTTCGTTTTATTTTATTTTAGAAGACGCTGGAAAGAAGAACAGATGCGACGAAGAAGAGCAGATGCGATGAAGAAGAAACCCAGTTGATCAAACGAAGATGATGTCAATTGCTCTCTGCTTATTTTCATTAAAAATTAACAGCCTACTCTAGGCTGTAGTCATTTAGTGACTAGGTTAGAAAATTATTTGATTGCTGTACATTAAATCTTTTTTCTGTTTTTATATCTCTTGTATTTTCTGATTTTGTCTCTTGTGCTGGTCTTTGCTAGCTAAGTAGCGAAATGAGTTCCAATTAAAATTGCAAATATCTTAAATAAAAAGTAAATAATATCTTAATGAAATAAAACAGCTAAATATATCGGTCACTTGCGCTCGCTACTATACACGGGCTGTTCGCTGCCTAAATTTGCAATGCTGCGTTTATGCGTGCAACAATCTCACCAACCTAACTTTCCACTTTCAGAATTCATCATCATCATCATCTTCAAGTGTGGTGGGAGTATAGAAATCCAATAGATCCGTGTTCAAAAATAAGTCCAGAGCGGCAGTACTTAAGGCTTTAAGGTACGTAAGTATGGTTTTATTTTTCCTTTCTAAACTGGATGTCCTGCTCTTTTTTCTAGGGAGGAAGGTAAGTATGCGCCGCGGCGCCGTTTCGGGACGCCCCACTAACTTTAACTGAGTCTCCCTGAGCCGGACGACTCAGTTCAGGTAAGTAGGAAACTGTTTTCCCGAATTGGATCACATCGCCAGCCACTTGGATCGTTTCTTGGCAGGGGTCAGGGCCCAGATGGCCCTTGCCTAGAAACAGATCCAGTGGCTAGGCGAGGTGATTCAACCGGAGTAAAACAGTTTCCTCTTCGATCGTGTGCGATTGCTTACAGCCTCGGCTGCAACTGCCAGCCTAGCCTCCCAGCTCCCCGGTCCTGGCCCCATCCCATCCCCCGGGCCGCAGGGGGGATGGGGTGGGGCCAGGGCCGGGGAGCTGGGAGGCCGGCTGACGGCTGTGGCCGTGGCCGTGAGCGGTCGCACACGAGCGTCGGGGGTAGGGTAGGGCCAAATTTTGCGCAGCGGCTGCTAGCCCCAAAGCTAGCCGCCGCTGCCAGCCACGCTTTTTTTCTTTTTCTTTAATGCTTTTTTAACCTTTCTTCTTTTAGTATTTTTCAGATTTTGATGATGACAACAAGAATGACATGGAACTGAGGAGGTCCTATTATTTTTCTAGGTTTGAAAGAAAGAGCACCTTGAAGAAGCAGCTTTTCAAGAAAGATCACATCGCAGAAACCTTGAAACTACCAGTTGTTGAAAGCCAGCTACCAAACCAGCAAAAACCTGCAATTTTGAGACTCTGAAACGTAGAAACTAGATGCGAGAGGACAAGAAAAGGCGTTTTCCCAGGTGCTCCAGAACGATTTTCATTTCTTGTATGCAATTGGCCTAGCGAATGCATTTATGCTGGACATTATTGGACATTGCAAGAGAACAAAAAGACGTTTTCCAGAACAATTTATATTGATAATATTCTTGTAGTGAATATTCTTGTAGTGAATATCGATTTATTTCTGCTGGACATTATTCTTCTATAGTGTTATTGCAACAACAAAATGGCAGAGATTTAAAAGTCAAGGCGTTACTTAGAATTTTGGCCTAGCATCCCAAATGTATTATTTTGCTGGAAATAACCCCATAATTTTTTTTTCTGCAAAGTGACTACGAATTTGCAAAGCAGGAGAACCAGTTGTTTCTTGCCAGCTAAAACCAGTTGTTCCTTACCAGTTCCTTGCCAAAAAGACAAACATCTCTCTACCAGTTATATATTTCATTTCCTTGATTAACTAGTTTAGAGTCGCAAATTTAGAGTATTAAACATTAGAGTCTTATACTTTTTGCGTCTCCCTCTCGTACTTCGACATGGGACTTAAAACATAAGACTAACAAGACGATAAGATGACACTAACAACACGACTCTAATAAGATGACACTTAACACTAACAACAACATGACTCGTACTTCAACATGAGACATAAGATGACACTGACAACATGACTCTAACACTAACGACATGACTCTAACAATAACAACATGACACTTACAACATGACACTAACGATATGACTCTAACATTAACAACATGACACTAACACTCATTACATGACACTAACGACATGACTCTAACATTAACAACATGACACTTACAACATGACACTAACGATATGACTCTAACATTAACAACATGACACTAACAACATGACTTTAACACTCATAACATGACACTAACGACATGACTCTAACATTAACAACATGACACTTACAACATGACACTAACGATATGACTCTAACATTAACAACATGACACTAACAACATGACTTTAACACTCATAACATGACACTAACGACATGACTCTAACATTAACAACATGACACTTACAACATGACACTAACGATATGACTCTAACATTAACAACATGACACTAACAACATGACTTTAACACTCATAACATGACACTAACAACATGACTCTAACAATATGACACTTAACACTAACAACAACATGACTCGTACTTCGACATGAGACATAAGATGACACTGACAACATGACTCTAACACTAACGACATGACTCTAACATTAACAACATGACACTTACAAAATGACACTAACGATATGACTCTAACATTAACAACGTGACTCTAACATTAACAACATGACACTAACATGACTCATAACATGACACTAACAACAACATGACTCGTACTTCAACATGAGACATAAGACTTACAAGACGATAAGATGACACTAACTCTAACACTCATTACACAACATGACTCTAACACTAACGACATGACTCTAACATGACCCTAAAAGACAGCATTCCTCCTCCTATAAGACAACACTCCATGAGAGAACACTCCTCCTCCCATGAGGATACACTCCTCTTTCCAAGAGGATTAACTCCCTCCTATGAGGTTACACTCCTCCTCCTATAAGGTTAAACCCTCCTCCCAAGAGGATACACTCCTCCTCCCATTAGGATACACTTCTCCTCCCATGAGGATACACTCCTCCTTTCAAGAGGATACACTCCTCCTCCTATGAGGTTTCACTCCTCCTCCCAAGAGGATACCCTTCTCCTCCTATGAGGCTACACTCCTCCTCCCAAGAGGATACACTTCTCCTCCCATGAGGATACACTCCTCATCCTATGAGGTTACACTCCTCCTCCCAAGAGGATACACTCCTCCTCCCAAGAGGATACACTCCTCCTCCTATGAGGTTACACTCCTCCTCCCAAGAGGATACACTTCTCCTCCCATGAGAATACACTCCTCCTCCTATGAGGTTACACTCCTCCTCCCAAGAGGATACACTCCTCATCCCATGAAGATACACTTCTCCTCCCATGAGGATACACTTCTCCTCCCATGAGGATACACTCCTCCTCCTATGAGGTTACACTCCTCCTCCCAAGAGAAAAAATCCACCTCCCGAGAGGATAAAGTGAAAAAACAAGTTTTTTTTATAATATTTTTATAGGAGGAGTTTTTCAATATAGGAGGAGTTTTTCAATATAGGAGGAGTTTTTCAATATAGGAGGAGTTTTTCAATATAGGAGGAATTTTTCAATATAGGAGGAATTTTTCAATATAGGAGGAGTTTTTCAATATAGGAGGAGTTTTTCAATATAGGAGGAGTTTTTCAATATAGGAGGAGTTTTTCAATATAGGAGGAGTTTTTTATATAGGAGGAGATTTTCAATAAAGGAGGAGTTTTTCAATATAGGAGGAGATTTTCAATATAGGAGGAGTTCTTAATATAGGAGGAGTTCTAAATATAGGAGGAGTTTTTCAAGTCATGGGAGGAGGAATGTAACCTCATAGGAGGAGGAGTGCAACCTCATAGGAGGAAGAGTATATCCTCATGGGAGGAGGAGTGTATTTTAATAGGAGAAGGGTGTACCCTCATGGAAGGAGGGATGTGGAGGAAGAGTGTATCCTCATGGAGGGAAGGATGTGGAGGTGGAGTGTATCCTCATGGAAGGAAGGATGTGGAGGAGGAGTGTATCCTCATGGGAGGAAGGATGTGGAGGAGGAGTGTATCCTCAGTATAGGAGGAGTTTTTTATATAGGACTAATTTTTCCATGTTTTGTTGTTTCAATAGGAGTGATTTGTTGTTTTCAAAGGAATGATTTGTTGTTTCAAAATGAGTGATTCCTTATAATAAGAGTGATTTGTTGTGCATTGTATTGGTTGTGTTAGTCTTACGTAAGTCATGTTAGCCTAGTATTGTTTCTTTTGTTGTGTTAATTTTGTGTAGTCTTGTGTCAGTGTTGTTTCTGTGTTGTGTTTTGTGTATTGTGTTAGTGTAAGTCGCGTTAGTCTTGTGTATTAATATTAATAAAGTCTTAATATTAATATTGTGTCTTGTGTTGTTTGTATCAATGTTGTGTTAGTCTTGTGTAAGTGGTGTTAGTTTTGTATCAGTTATTGTTATTTCTTTGTTGTGTTTTGTGTTAGTGTTGTAATGTGTTAGTGTAAGTCGTGCTAGTCTTGTGTATTGTTGTATTAATATAGTATTAGTATAATGTGTTTGTCTTGTGTAAGTTTTGAGTTATGTTAGTGTTGTGTCATTCCTGTATTGCGTTAGTCTTGTGATGTGTTAGTCTTGTGTTGTTTTAGTATTGAGTTGCGTTAGTGTTGTGTCTTGCGTTTTGTTAGTGTTGTGTCACTCCTGTATTGCGTTAGTCTTGTGATGTGTTAGTCTTGTGATGTGTTAGTCTTGTGATGTGTTAGTCTTGTGTTGTGTTAGTCTTGTGTTGTGTTAGTGCTGTGTTGTTAGTCGTGTTAGTCTTGTGTTGTGTCTTTTCTTGTGTTGGTCTCGTATTCGTCTTGTGTTTTGTTAGTCTTGGGTTTTTGTATACACATTAACTTAACTTATTTTAATGTTTTCAAAGATGCTATGCTTCTTGCTCCTATCCTAAAGGAAGTTTTGTCTTTGCTACAAAATTGATATGTGTATTCTTGTATTAATATAGTATTCTTTATTTAATATAGTATTAGTATAATAATGTTGTGTTTGTCTTGTGTAAGTTGTGTTAGTCTTGTATTGCATTGTGTTAGTGTTGTGTCACTCCTGTATTACGTTATTCTTGTATGAAGAAGAGGGAGACACAAAAAACAAGAGACCCTAACTTATTTTAATGTTTTCACAGATGCTATGCTTCTTGCTCCTATCCTATGCTTCTTGCTCCTATCCTATGCTTCTTGCTCCTATCCTAAACAAAATTTTTATTTTTGTTACAAAATTGATATGTTAACAAAACTTTTCTTGGCGCTGTCTTAGTGTTCCTATACTATGCTTCATGTTCCTTACTAACGAAGTTTCCTACAAGTTTTCTTTACTTTCTGATATAATAACTTTCAAAATAGATCCACCAAAGAATAATACTAAGCCTAAATATCAAAGCTAGGCCATGATTAAAATAACTTTACTCTACGTGAATACAATTATCTTCATCACAGCTGCCTTGAATGCTGTACTGTTCTTGTTCTTTATGTTTCCAAGTTCTACCGAGAAGAATTTGCCGTTGTAAGATGCCAAGATTGCTGGAATGGAACAACTTGATAAGCGTCTTTTTTGATGCTTTTATTTCGTCTCTTTTGCTGCAAATTGGTAGCTTCTCATCGGGCTCTTTCTTTCAAACCTAGAAAAATAAGAGGACCTCCTCAGTTCCATGTCATTCTTGTTGTCATCATCAAAATCTGAAAAATACTAAAAGAAGAAAGGTTAAACAAACAAGCAACAGCAAGCAACAACAAGCAAAAACGAAAAAGCGATGAAAGAAAAAAGCGTGGCTGCGCAGCGGCGGCAGGCCGTTGGGCTAGCAGCCGCTGCGCAAAATTTGGCCCCACCCTACCCCCGTCGCACGTGTACCCCCACTCACAGCCACAGCTGCCGTCTCGCCTCCGAGCTCCCCGGCCTGGCCCCACCCCATCCCCCCTACGGACCGGGGGATGGGATGGGGCCAGGACCGGGGAGCTGGGAGGCTAGGCTCGCACTTGCGGCCGACTGTTGTAGTTGCACACAATTGAAGAGGAAACTGTTTTACTCCGGTTGAATCACGCCGTGTGACCCAAGCCGGGAAAACAGTTTCCTACTAACCCGAACCAACCAGTTCAGGTTAGTGGGGTTTCCGAAATGGCGCCGCGACGCATACTTACCTTCCCCCCTCTAGAAAAAAGAGCAGGACATCCAGTTTAGAAAGGAAAAAGAAAACCATACTTACGTACCTTAAAGCCTTAGGTACTGCCGCTCTGGACCGATTTTTGAACACGGATCTATTGGATTTCTATACTCCCACCACACTTGAAGATGATGATGATGAATTCTGAAAGTGGAAAGTTAGGTTGGTGAGATTGTTGCACGCATAAACGCAGCATTGCAAATTTAGGCAGCGAATAGCCCGTGTATAGTAGCGAGCGCAAGTGACCGATATATTTAGCTGTTTTATTTCATTAAGATATTATTTACTTTTTATTTAAGATATTTGCAATTTTAATTGGAACTCATTTCGCTACTTAGCTAGCAAAGACCAGCACAAGAGACAAAATCAGAAAATACGAAATATATAAAAACAGAAAAAAGATTTAATGTACAGCAATCAAATAATTTTCTAACCTAGTCACTAAATGACTACAGCCTAGAGTAGGCTGTTAATTCTTAATGAAAATAAGCAGAAAACAATTGACATCATCTTCGTTTGATCAACTGGGTTTCTTCTTCATCGCATCTGCTCTTCTTCGTCGCATCTGTTCTTCTTTCCAGCGTCTTCTAAAATAAAAGAAAATGAAAATTCAGCAATCGAGAAGAGAAATGGCACACTATCAGTAACCAACAATTGGATGAATTTGATAGCTCAAAAGTAATTTTCAAGGTGAAAAAATTCGCAGATTGAATTAGCTGTTGCCCTGAGAAATAATAAACGTATTCTACAATGTGGTTTTATTATTAAAAAAATTCTATGCCATAGTTTCTTGGAGCCATGCTTTTTTAAATCTTTTTTTCAATTTTTATGATTTTCCATGTTGTGACACTTCGTTTTCGTGATCTGAAAATATATGTAACTTTATCCTTTACTCTTTCACTCTAACTGTATCTTTTAGGTCTAAACAGATGGCATATCTATCTAAAGCATAGGTATAAAGTATGAACTGCCATC